GGGGAGGGGGGGGGGGCACACTATCTCCATGCATATATTTTCTACGCGAAGCGAGGTTCTATATGGGTTTGCAACTTTCCACGCGAGGTTTTTAATTTTGCAAACCCATATAGAACCTCGCTTTGTGTGGAAAATGTATACGTGGAGGCAGTGTGTTCCGCCTCAGTATTGCTACACTTCGTTCGTATGACAAGTTTCCTAACCTGAAAAGTCTTCAACTTTAACGATAAATATCTCGCTTCGCGGGGCAGAGCGACACTTTTTTCAGATAGAAAAGTTGTATTTCTCACAAAAATGCATCGAATAAGCCTAATTGGATCAAAATCGGAAATAAGGTAGCGATTCTGAATAATTACCCTTTCCATGAAAATAAAATTAAAAATAAATAATATATATACTTATTCAAAATATACAATGCGTTCTTTATTTTGTTCTCACTGCTCTAAATAATTATTCTCTTATATATAGATTTCCAAGCTGTCCAGCAATACGTACAAAGTGGGTCGAGGCTTTTCATAATTTAAACAGTCAAGAAATTGCTTCATGCTTGCCAAAAACCAGCAGAATCTGCAAGTTGCATTTTTCCTCTGACTGCTTTGAGCAATTCGGATTCTCTTCCATTCGTTTGAAACCAAATTCTGTACCGAGTATATTTCCACGTGCTCGCAAACAAAGGTATATAATGACATAATTTTGCATCGTATCTATTGTATGTTATAAAAATTAACAAAATAATATTTGCATGATATACTGAAAGACCTATGATTTATTTCTTGTATGTTGCAATTTGGAAATATCAATAAAAAGTGCTAAATTCTCAAAGCTTGTCTTGGAAGCATCGACGAATATTATCGATAAGCAAGTAGAAGCATCAATCAAAGAGATTGATTTAGCCAAATTATTTGATGATGAGGTGCAAATGGAAAATTTGTCAGAAGAAGTTCAAGATGTTTCTCCCATTCACAAGTAAGTGAAACAAAAAAATTGCACTTGACACTCAATCTCGCAGTGTCTGCTTTTGCGGGTGTCTCAGCAGGCTCTCATTTGTTTTTACAGTAGCAGTATTATTTGTACGTATTCTGTATACATTCACTCATAGCAAATTATTTTATTATACCAATTGTTTGTAGTGATCATGATGAAATGATGAATTTCAAAAAGGATAATGTCATCAAAGGCATAATCCAAACTCCAAAGAAGTTACTTCGCTATCCTGGTGATATTAACGACAATATTTTACAAAATATTACGCCAAGGACAAGTATACGCATAATAAAAATGCTGAAGAAAGAGTGTCAGAAAAAGGATAAAATCATCAAACGTTGCCGAACTCAACAAAATCGCCAGAAGAAAAAAATTGAACATTTGACAGAATTATTATTTAAAGTGAGAAAAAAATGTTTACTTTAAAATTTTTGTGATATTATGCAGGTAAGCATGTCGTTGAAAAAGTACCATTACGAATGGACATTTTTGCTAAGGGTTTACTTTTAAAAACTTAAAACTCATGTAAAACCATGAAATTTTTAAATAATGAGAATTTCATGGTTTTACATGAGTTTTTAAGTTTTTTCAATTGGTCAATTTTCCATTCGCAATGGAAATTTTTGCTAAGGGAAAAGTCAGGAAAAAAATACAGTGAATTTCTCACGAGATGAATTTAGGTTTTTCCGATTGCGGTTGTATGGTTGTTAAATTTCAAACATACAAGATTGATTGAGAACTTCAATATTTTAGAATCGTAGGTGGAATTACATTATACTGACGTTAACTTATTGATTATAATGACAAAATTATGCATTATTTCGATTGCTATTGTAAACTATAATTTCATATCAATGTATCGTAGATTTTCATACATAAGTAACTATATATAGAGTGTAATAGAAAAATAAGTCTCCCAATTCATAGTACATTTTGTATTTTCGATGTAATAGTATTGTGGAGGTGAAATCATCCAATAAATATATATTTTTGTAAATTATTTTTTGTATTTTATTTATGAACGGAATATTTCTGAACAATTACAAATGCACAGGCCATTTCAGATGAGACTACGATTATTCAGGATGTACAAAAAGGAAAGATAAATGGTAAATATTCATCGCAGCTTCGGTCGTTCGCTCTTACAATTAACTTCTACAGTCCGAAGGCGTACAATTACATTCGACAAGTTTTCTAAAATAAGTTACCTGTCCCTTCCACAATACGCGCGTGGTATAGCAATATTGATTGTTCACCTGGGTTCTCGCAGCAATCAGTGGATATTTTAAAGAGGAAAAGCAAAGCAAGTGAAAAACAATTATTTGCCTGCCTAACAACGGAGGAAATGGCTGTACGCAGACAAGTGCAATGGAGTAACTGCAAAAAGCGATACATTGGATACGTAAACCACGGAGATACAACCGAGGATCCTGAGAATCTACCCATGGCGAAGGAAGCCCTGTGTATTTGATTACCGGGATAAACAAACGATGGAAGATACCAGTAGCCTATTTTCTGGTAGCTGGATTAATAGCAGAAGAACGAAATAACGAAGAAAGTTCTTGAGTTCGTAGCTTCATCAAAAGTGAAAGTCATCGCATTAACATTTGACGGGCTGTCGTCAAATATTAACATGTACAATTATTTAAATGCCGATATTTATATAACAACAAGACTTTCTTTTCGCATTCGATGGACACACATGATGTATTTATATTTTTTGGAGTTGTGCGTATGTTAAAATTATTGAGAAATGCTGTCGCTTCAAAAAGAAAATTGTACGACGAATAGGGGGGCGGGCGTCATCAATTTTGAATACTTTGAAAAATTGGTTCGACTGCAAGAGAATGGCGACTTCCATTTAGCCAATAAACTCAGTCGTAGGCATGTACCTGGTAAAAAATTTCTCATATATAATCATGTAGCATTTAAAAGAGTTATACAATATTTTACATAATTGTGTAAAAATATGTATAATTATACATGACGAAATATGAAACGTTATATATATATATATATATATATATATATATATATATATATATATATATATA